ACACATACGATTAGTAAGCATATTTAGTATAGATAATGTAATAAGGTACATATTTTTGCCTAGCTGTGTAGGATACACCAATTGTATAGGCATGCATAAATATTGTTTAAATTACATGGTTTACGGTTGCCGTCATTTTGTCTTTAGTTTGTGGGAAAAATCTGATAACTAGTGATCCAATAGACCGCATCAGGAGGTATTGGCATATTGAATTCGCATTAATAAAATGTGTATATTGTCCTACAGATGTAGGTTTTCTATAGACATCTCTCTTGAGTAGGCCATCATCCCTTCTGATCAAATGGACATCAAGGAAATGTGGTCCACCATCATCTTCTTCTTCACAAGTGAAGATGAGCGATAGATGTGTATCATTAAACTTTTTTAACATTTCATTCTTGTCAGCTTTCCTCTTCAAGGAGAATAAATTTGTCATCAGCATAACGAAAACAACAATCAGCTTTTTCTATTACTGGTCTCAATGGACCATTTTCAATCTTGGCAAGAAATAAGTCTGTTAAAATTGGCCCCAATGGAGAACCCATGGCAATACCGTCGATTTGCCTGCAATAAACGTTGTTGAATGTGAAGTGTACATTCATAGTACATCTTAAGAGCAACTATTTCAGACTAATAACCGGTATTCCGATGTCAATCTGTTTTTCTAGTATATGTTGGCACATAAATTCCACAGTCTTCATAATTGGTACATTGGTAAACAGTGATGTTACATCTAAGAAAAGCATTTGCTTCCTATTTACATAAATATCCTCTACGTTAGCAATAAATTCTTTAACACTTCTTTAACATTATGACTTGCTACCATCTTGTGTAACGGTTGGAGGAGTTCACCTAGCCACTTTGCCACCCCATAGTAAGTGGAGTTTGACATATCCAGGACTGGACGAAGAGGAAGTCCAGATCTATTGGGTTGATAAGGTTTTGGAACTTCGTTTCATCCGTTAGAAGCGAATTCATTTTGTCAACATAATCACAATTATTCATCTATACTATTCCGTCTCCTTTATCAGGTATACTGATTATAATGTTTTCATCGTTCCTTAACTTTCTTAAGGCTTCTCGATGCTGTTTAGTCAGCAAACTCTTACTAGAATGACTATTGTTTTTATACTGTTGACAACTGTCGACTAGTGTAGTTTTAAACCTAGCGACTTCATCGTCTGTCGTTGGGGTCAAATCTTTCGTTTGTAGGAGAAGGTTTTCAAATCGGATGTTGGTATGGAGTTGGTTGACCTTATACCCTTGGTCACAAAGTCTAGGACCCAATGATAGAGCTTCTAACTGTAATTTATCTAGTGTTACACTTGAAAAATTGTGGACGTACCGATAGGGGTCTGAAGGGAATGAAGGGAAATCCTTTTCAGGATCTTGACTGTCTAATAATTCGATAAGTTTCGTTCTCTTTTTCTCTGCTCTGTTTCGGCACACACTGTCAACATGCTCAGTGAAATCAAATAATAAATCCCCAGGAATGTTGTTATCTTTGTGTGTAAATTACTCTGTGCCTACGCTTGGTTGGTCAGATACGTCGTATGTTTGTTAGTCATCTACATTCCACGATACAATGACATGGGCGTGTTACCGTTCAAAGTTGAGGATATAGGTTTTTTATTTTTTATCACAGCTTGGTTCCACACCGTTTTTGGTACAAGTATGGAATTTTCAACGTGGATATCGGTAGCCCGAATTTTGCAAACCGACCATAGATATCATGTGTGCGTTGGGAGGGTATGGAACCTCGCACCATGTGCATGGTCGGCGAGAGTCCTAACCACTGTGCCACTATGATAGAATGAGGAGATTGTGCAAGAGTGATATGAATCAGCCAACACCCCGTGTACCAGATCAGTGGTGGCACTGTTGACAGAGAGTGGAGGAAATTTCCGATCATTGAGGAAGATCCCACACTCCACGGAGAGCCTACTTGTGTGATGTGGTATGCTTGTTGCGTGTTGGGCTTTCTTGTCGTGCTTTTCTACTTTTAGCCTAGTACGGGTTGGTCCATGTTCCTGAATTGGCAGTTCAATTCGAAATTATCATAGTATGATCGAATTCATCATTTTCAAACTCTGATAATAACAGTACATGATCTGGGTTCTTCCTCACAAATCCTTAAAGGTTTTATACCTTTACTCTGACTAGTAATGCTTTGAAAACTTGTTGAGTCAGAACCGGACTCTGAAACTGTGACTATCTTCTTTTGCACAAACTGCGGTGTCGTCTGTGACACTCTGTTCAACCATGGCTTACCAGTTGCGACCATAGGCTTCTTCACTGCACCATTATCGTCACACCATCCGGACCCAGACCTTGATGACGCCGATTTCACAATTAGCTTACTACTAAACTTGCTCACTGCTTCATAGTTCGCCTTTGTGTGCACTTCTTGCAAACGGATGAAACACGACCATGTTTGTTTTCCAGCTTGTAACCTATCTGTTGGGGACGTCCGACGAAAGCCGTCACACTCATTAGGTTTATATGGATTACTAGACACCATAGAGTTTTCTTGATATGCACTTCTCTGAGACGCTTTCGTCATAAATGATTGCGTTTTGCCCTCTGATTTCTCTGTTCTAGGATTGGGACGCAGTATACTCGCAAACTTGCTCAAACTTTGGTTGACACTGTCTTTCACCAGGCTCACAATATCATCCAACCAAGGCTCTGAACCCTCCTCTTCTTGACGGGGACTGATCTTTATGAACTTTCTTTGCAGACGAACTGGCGATCTCTTGGCAATAGTCTCAAGCGCGGAACTTGAATTCAATTCATCTGCGCAATTAAGAGACACGAGAGTATTTCTATATACCATTATACTGTCTAATAACTCTGCGAGTTCTTCTGAATTATCGTTTAACTGTGATCCATTACCTTTCACGATCTCAAAAATACTACGGGATATCATAAATGGTTTTCCAAACCCTTGACGTAGTATCCTCATAGCCTCTGTACAACCTCCGTTCGGGGACATAAACTTGCAGCACTGTATAGCTCTTGCAACAACGCCAGTGCAATACCTCAACAAATACATTAACTTCATTTTGTCATTTAATACAAAACCACTCAACACGACCTCAAACTCCTTGATGAACTGTGGGCAGTCGGCTGGGTTTTCATCAAAGTACCGAGGTTCAAACTTAGGGAGCCTTGAAGCACTACTATCCCTAAACGGCGAAGCGTGAACATCAGACTCATCACGCTGAGGATCATGCATATCATTACAGTTAACAGGCAACTCATCGTCACTTTCTATTTTGTCTGCTTTCATTTTGCGACTTCGCTTCCTGGACGGAGATCTTATCCAATGTCATCAGAGCATCCAAATCGCGTTGTTAATCTCAGCTTACATATGAGCTGACTGCGGGTGCAGTAAGTACATGCGGATGAGTTCCAAATGACGCTCTGGAATGCGAACAGATGAATAGCGCTGCCCCAGAAGGCGCTCCAGGAAAGATATAATACTGTCAGGGAAGTTTTCCCCAAGTTCCTTTTGTTACGAAGACTCTCCGAACAGTTAAATACTATGTACTTTCTTCGACCTTGACTCCAAAACATCAGTGTTGGATGAAGGAAGTTATATTGTTTGGCAAATGAAGCCGAGAATAATGCAAGTCTACAAACAAATTTTTATACAAATTTATTATGTACTTTTATTTGCTTTTGTACGTCTTCGTCGAACTTTTCACGATCGAAACATTCGCGCCTTCGAGTTGCCCACCAATGGCTACCAGTTCCAAAAGCAGACGCTCAAAGTTCACGTCCATTGACACCATATAAGACTAATTAATCTACCCGTATTACGTGTTTAGAGAAACGAATTTTACTAATTCTTGTCGCATTTCGCCTTTGTATTACTTAACATCAACTTTCGTTTGTTATATATATTTTTGCGTGGCCACACAATCTGTCGTTCACCTCACGCTCTCCGAAATTTTGTTAAGTTAATTATACATCTTTTCAAGGTTTCCATTGTGCTTCATAATACGTTGCTCCTGTCTACTCGTGTGCAGCGTTAGCACATCGTAGAACGTGAAAACATTGATGTGCTGCAGTGTTATAGTTGAAATCATACTTAGTATCCTGTTGGTCTTTGGCGGCATTTGCCCTTCAGACAAACACAGAATACCACGTTCATCAGTTTTATGTCCCGGGAAAGTCTGTGAGTAAAGGGAGTATGGAACTTAGCCAAACGGGCTACTATAGAATGTTCTGTTGGTTATCTGAAAAATTATCGTGTGTGATTACTACCACTTTTCCTATCTGTATTAGCAAACAGAATGTTGTTCAGACATGAGGAAGTGAAGCTAAGTCTAGGCAAGACATAGGAAATGAAATGACATGAAATCTGCAAGGTGAAGACCAAAGAACAGGCACAGAAACTCGAAATGATCAGAAGGTGTAATGAAGATATTCTTCAGGATACCACTGAGGTGAGAAAAGATATAACTGCAAGCGGGCTTCAGAAAAATCTCACTGAATACAGACATGCCTTTTTAAGGATATGGTCGAATTAGGCAAATATAAGATAGGATCATTACCGGGGACCATTTTTGCATTAAACGTTTTTGGCACAACACACAGGGGCAGGATTGTGCCGACTTTCACCATAGTAACAACCAGAAAGCGTATCTGATCTTTGACTGAGCGTGTGACAATAGGAGGGGATTACCAATAAAAGAAGGCAAACGCTAAGACCGCAGAGCATCTATTTTTTGTTCGCATATTGCCAAGAGACACGACGACAATAATATGTGTGTATCTCCTACATGCACGTCAGATGAGCACTTCAATAGGGGCTGACTTTCTCAGACATCATTAGCTGTCTTCACTTTTACCAACCAACACTTTAAAATCTCACATTATCGGTCACTTTTCTTCTTTTGTGTGCTTTAAAGTCAGCCAACAGCTTCCCCTGTTTGTACGATTTCTGCTCTTTTTGAGTAATTTTGTAAACGGATGCCATGAAAAGTTCACGATAATACATTCCAAGTAGATTCTTCAATTATTCAATGTACAAGGAGAAAGCATGTATCATGTGAAAAATTACCTCATCAAAGTAAAATAAGGAAAGAAGCATAAACTCTCTAACCAATTCAACAGGCAAATACACATGAACTATGCCTTGAAATCAAAATATGAAGATACAATAACAATGTAGTTTTATTTATATGCCAGATCAATGTTGCACGTACACGTCCTTAGTTGAAGGTTACACTACGTTTTTGAGATGGTGTTATTCATGCTTTTTATTTTTTGGTGTACATACGAAGTTTCTGGCAGCACATTAACTTTTGAATTAGAAGACAGAGCCAAGGAGTGTTTTTATGAAGATGTTGATCGGGGGACGAATTTCACAGTTCAGTTTCATGTATGTTTTGAGATTTTTCAGTTTTTTTGATAGCTTGATTAGGTAATATCAGGTGGGAATTACGATGTAGATGCAGAATTAATGGATCCCTCCAAAAAAGTGATTTTCTCAGTTGATCGCTCGCCTATGCATTCATTTTTTGTTGAAGACGCAAGGAAAGGTGCTTATCGAGTAAGTTATTTTGGTGCGAGTATTTGTAAAACGTCTGACTAGTCATATATTTTGTTTAGTACTTTTGCAAAGTAAGCAACATTTATGTTTCCGTTTGTTCATGGAGTCCTAAATGGATTATCATCATAATGCTGATATCGACTTCGATGAAGCGTATCTTCGTTAGGATTGGTATTTAAGTTTGTATGTTAAAAACGCAGTCAAGCTGGAATAATGAATGGATAAAGCGAAATACTTGAATATGATCATTTCTTGTCAGTCTGAACTGTTTTTGCTATAATTCCATTTTGCGGTTAGAGAAAGCCGAAGCTTACTGATGCTCTTTGCAGTCTCTAAACTGTGTTTATTTTTTGAAATAATCGTGTAAACACACGAGTTTTGGTGGGAATTCTGTTCAGTTCGCTAGTTTACGAACCGCTTTTCCAAAATCTCGACCTCTCAGTCGGATCTATTACTTTAACATCTGTCAACCCATTTTTCCACATCCTCTGTAGGCTAACTTAACTAAATATGCTTTGAAAGGCATATGGGGAAAGCTGAATTCTCTTCAGTAACTGAGAACTATTTTCTAAATATGAGAAATGTTAGACTGGAGATCATAGTTTCATAGTTGCCTTTTGAGAAACCTAAAGGCTTACTGCATGTTTAAAAATTAGTTTAGACCTTTCTTCCCCTTTTCACCCGTTGAAATTTCACTTGGTGATGCATTAACTTGTAGTGTTGGTTGATCCTTTTTGAGCAAGGTAGTGTCTGTGGGAACATATGCCTCACTTAGACCCTTATGTGTAGCACATATTTGAAGGAGCAACCCTTAAGTAACTGGTTAAATAAGATGATGTTGCGTCATTTGTAGGTTTCTGTAATTTTCATAAAGCCACTTAAATGCAGCTGACAGCAGATATCTATGAGGGATTATTTGCGATCTTTACATGCAGTCAGATACTTTAATAGTCGTACTGATAATAATTTGCTTTATTCCAAAACAGTACTTGTGATACAGAATGGAATTCTCAGCATTTTACTACAGTATTGCATCCAGTTAGTACATTATCAATAAATAAAATTCTACATAGATTAAGGAAATATCAGTTCATTATAACAACAACATATTGGCATGCAAGTAGCAAAGCCAAAATTGAACAGAATGTTCGAAGGTGTTAGAAAAGTAGGTGCTAGCATATTTACTGGCGTAAGCAGAAGAAAGAAACAAAGCAGCACATAACAGAGAAAAAAAGGGAGAGAGAAAAGGAAAAGAAAGAAAAAAAATGTTGTACCTGTAAAAGATATGAATTGGAAAGACGAGATCCAGGTGTTCTACTGACTATTTAATAAGTTATAGGTATCACGCCTAATGCTATCTTTATCGCACAGAACACGAGCTAAGTAGGGTATGGTTGAGTTTTTGTACTTGCTAGTGAGGGCATATAGTTTTCTATCTAGGCTTCTGGTTTTGCCTGATGAGATACAAGGGGAGAGTTGTGAATGAAGAGGGTGGTGTGAGTTGGATAAAATGGATTTAGCCCATTTTTCACATAAGTCCAAGTTTTAGTCGACCAGAATATTAACAAGCTGGTTAAGTGGCACGTTGCTTAGTATAGTATATAGGCATAAAAAATTGTTGCCAGCCTAGCCCCATGTTCTTTGTAGTCGTTCTAAACCATTGTTTTCCTTATCTAGTATGAGAATATAGTGACAATTTGCCACTTATGTTGGAAATTCCACTAAAGTAATGTTTAATTGTGATATCACTGAAAAATTCATTGAAAGATTGTGGAGTTACATTTATTACGATGGCTAGGAGATGCGTGTTGCGCATTCTGAGCTATCGCCTTTTTCTATGAGAAATGTTAACTGACATGAGATTAGTTTAGAAATGAGGTAGGGACGGTCATACCTGACGATACTAATCAGTCCATGAAATCTTTCACAGAGGGAAATGTAGGCTGCCTAGTTTGAGTTCTAAGCATCTTAAAAAACAATATCTGGAGGCTATTGGTGATGCAGCCAACCAGGGACCGATTGTGCAACAAATAAGCAGAAAGAAATGGAGGTGGATTGGTGGCCATACTCTGAGAAAACCATCAATGACATCTACAAAACAAGCTCTCGAGTGGAGCCCGAACAGCGAGTTGGTCGTCCACGGGTGACGTGGAGTAGGCTATGTGAAGAGGAGATGAAAGCATGTGGGCAGACGTTGGGTCAGGTGAGAACGTTGGCAGAGAACCGAACGCAATGGAGACGTGCTACTGAAACCCTATGTCCCTCTAAGAACTAAAGGAAACAATAATAATAATTGGCAATGTGACTTAAAACTATCGCTGTTAATGGTGCAGGTAAATTCCCCCTTTCTAATCACCCAGATACGTTTAATCCACACGTTTCCAAGTATTACTCTTCTTTCTTTCATAAGTTTTTGCTCATTATACTACCTTTGTGTAATATATGGACTGCTGCATTTCTATGCAAAGTTCTGTGTTGAGACCCAGTCAGTCAGTGGGTAAAAGTGAACAAAACAATTTGTCGTGCAGGAGGGGGAGGGCGTTAAATCTCTTTCAAGCTTTTAAGGAATTTCTATCCTATTTAATGTTCATATATTTCGATTAAATTTTAACACTGAGATTCTATAAACTTTCTTTAAAATATTCTTGTTGTAAAAGCTTTACTGTATTATTGTTTAATTCTGTATTACCAACATTTACAGATATGCTTCAGTAATTCCTTTTCGACATTAACACACAAAATTGTATCACTATCATGGTTCAATGGTACTGATGAAGCTCATTGGGCAAATGTTGGCAGTCCATCAATTGATACAACAGTAAGTTTTTCTTCTTTTTCTTTTGTTTTACGTTTAAACCTTAAGTCTTTTAAATTAGCATCTTTTTTCCCACTCTTTAGCAATTGTTAGAATTGCTAATCTTACACCCAGCCATTTCTATTTTCAAGGCTTGTTAACCCGGTTAGGTGAACTGTAGAAGTGTGTCCGTTGGTCGGGAATCGGATCTGGACCACGTGTCTGGTTGTCTAGCATTCTACTATTATACTACCGACTTTTGATGTTGTCGCCTATTGAATCTAGTGGATTGCATAAAAAAATGAAATGGTATTGTTCAAAATAGACTAGTACGCCTCACAATTTTGAAATTGTTTACCAAACCTGTGAAGCATTAAAACTTCTGATGTGTAATGTTAACAGTTTATCCAATTTTAACGAATATCTCATTACTGGTATTGTTTAGACGTTCTGGACAGGGATCGACTAATTGACTGACTGACTGACTGACTACCAGTCGTGAGGAATACAAGAAATCTGTTAACAAAGTGATACCTGTTAATCAAGATGTGTTTGGTGGGTCGGTGACACAGCGGTAGAATGCTCGCCAACCGCGCCTCATGTGGTCCGGGGCTCGACCCCCAGCCACCAACGCACTCCTTTACCTCACGAAGCCAGTAATAAGGCTGGTAAAGAAGGAAGGTCGGGCATGAGGCTAGCAATCCCATCCCGTAAAAATAAACACCACTGCTACCGAAACTCCAAGCCTGTAGCTTGAAGCCTTGTGTTCTACTGGGAACGTAAAGGAATAAAGATGTGTCTGTCTCTGAGCCTACCAACTGAATAAAAATTCCATTGTGTATGATGCTACCGACATTTCAAGGCTCTAACCTTGGAGCCATATGTTCCACTGGGCACATGAAGGAATAAAAAAATGCGTTTATCTGTCTGTTGCATAATTCTTCGTTTACTGGATTTTATTCTCAATAGAAAGACTACCATTCACTCCATTGCAAGCACTTTCAATTGGTAAGGACGAGTCGAATGGAGTGTGCGTTTGTTACAAGTTACTACTTTATACTTAACATTGTCTAAACTTGGTGTATGCTATTTTATAAGTCCATAAACACACGCACATGTATTTCATGAAATGTTGTATAAAATACAACCAATTATTATCTTTTTTGTTTTAATTCACATTATTATTCAAATGTCATTCTAGTTATAGCCAGCGGGCCCCTGCTTCGATTCCTGCCTTAACTACTTCAATTTTGGCTACTGAATTGTATCATCAGATATGACACAATAACGTGTGTAGCTTTGTCTTATTTATTATTATTATTATTCTACTGCGACGTACCCCAAATATTCATCAACCTTATTCAACAGCTGTACTACAACGGAACATGTCAAGTGATCCACAACGGAAAACTTAGCGAGGCGTTTGGAGTAAATACAGGAGTCAGACAAGGGTGCTTATTATCACCCACAATGATATTCCTAATTGTGGTCGATTGGATTACGCGTCATACAGTGGGAAACGAGCAGACAGGAATATCCTGGACCGACGTGAAGAACCTAGATGACCTAGATTTCGCGAGTGGATGATTTATGTTTGATGTCACACAAAATCGAAGACTTACAAGCGAAAACCGACAAACTGGTCGAAGAAGCAGCCAGAGAAGACAGGACTCCAGGTGAACATAGACAAGACGGAGGTTATAAAAATAACCAACCAACAACAACAGCAGAACATTCATCGCCAATCACCATCAACGGGAGGGATTCGAAAGAGTGTACTTCATTCACTTATCATCTAGGGAGCATTGTCTCAACTACAGGAAGTCGAAACGGACTAGGATTTCGAATCGAGCGAGAATGGGGAAGGCGAGAAACACATTCATCAACCTGGAATCAATCTGGAAATCTTCGTCACTCAGTCAGCATCAACAACAAGATTCGGTCGGATTTTCAATACAAACGTCAAGTCAGTCAGTTCTTCTATACGGATCAGAAACTTGGCGGGTGGGTCACAAAGAATATTTCCAACAGCCTATTGCAGACATTTATCAACAACTGTCAACTATCGCTCTATACTGAAGATGAGATAGCTGGGCTGGAAAGAATCACCAACAAGAAACTAAGGGAACAAAGAAAACAAAAACCAATCCCCAACCAACAAATATGCAGGAGAAACTGGAGATGGATTGGACATTGGCTGAGGAGGCCGCTGGGAGACATCGCTCGCGCGTCAGGCTATTGCTCGAGTAGAACCCGAAAGGGAAGTGGCGAGTGGGTCGTCAGTGCAAGGGTGACATGGAGGAGATCGTGTGAAGAGGAGTTGAAACAGTATGGACTAACATGGATGCAGGTGAAAAGTACAGCAGAAGACAGAAGCAAGTGGATACGTGGAGTTGAAGCCCTATGTTCCACTAGGAACCCAAGGCGACAATTATACAATATTAATTATTCTATTAAAACACAAACTTGGTACACATTATGGCCACCAAGAGCTGCACTACGCGAAATCTGATAGTTTGTGCGAAGGCTAAGATTCTGCCGGGACTCTGAGACAGAAACAATTGGTGGCCACTCCCTTAATCCGTTGACTGGAGTCTGGATCAGCGTCAGGAGCTACATTCCTATCGTTTCTGGTAGTCAGAACAGGTTAATACGCCTTTCGGTTTCTGAAGCGTATGTGCATTTTATAAAGGTGTTTACAATTAGGGTTTTCCAACTCCCTTAGCTGGGTGGGTAGACCTGTATATCTGCTAGTTCAGTTGTTGTAAGGACCAGACTTTCCCATTGACCCTTTCACTTTTGTGGATAATATATCCCTACTGCGTGATGGCGGTGAACAGGAGTTACTTGGCAGAGGCTACGCACGCATAGCCATATGAGAGGGTATTTCGAGGGGAAGACTGAAGTTTACCTCTGTCCTCGGTTGTACCAGGATAGTTTATGGATGCTTTGACAGTGATTCAATAATATTTAACCGTGTACCCTTTATGGCAACTACTTCGCTACTACGAGGTTCCACCAACAATTATACACCTCATCCAACAGTTATACAACAATGCTGCATGCCAAGTAATCCACAACGGGAAACTCCTAGAATCCTTCGAAGTGAAAATGGGAGTAGGATAAGGCTGTCTATTATCGCCAATAATCTTCCCGATTACAGTAGATTGGATAATGCGACAGACAACGGGCAATAAGGAAACAGGCATAAAATGAACTCACACAAAAACTTGGAGGATCTGGACTTCGCCGATGATATATGTCCGATTTCTCACAAACTGGAAGATATGCAAATGAAAAGCAACAAGCTGGCAGAAGAAGCATCCAGAGAAGATAGGACTTCAGGTGAACATAGAGGAGACCGAGGTGATGTAGATTCCTGGCCAACAAGAGCACCAACAGCAACAACAGACAACAATCAGCATAAATGGGAGGAACCTGAAAGGAACAGCCTCCTTTAACTACCTGGGAAGCATTGTCTCTACTACAAGCGGAACTAACGAGGATATCATGGCAAGAATCAGAAAAGCAAGGTAAGCTTTCATTGCTCTCAAGTCTGTGTGGAGATGAACAGCACTCAGCATGAAAACGAATATAAGATCCGGATTTTCAAATCCAGTGTAAAGTCAGTCAGTGCTACTATACGGATCGGAGACTGGGAGCGTCATGAAGACTACCTTAAACAAGCTACAGACCTTCCTTAACAGTTGTCTTCGCTCAATACTACTCAAGATCAGGTGGCCGGCTAGAAAAGATCAGCAACGGGGATCTCTGGGAGCAAACCAACCAGGAACCGATTGAGCAACAAATAGGCAGGAAGAAATGGAGGTGGATTGGCGGCCGTACTCAGAAGAAACTACCAAGTGACATCACTAGACAAGGCATCGCTCGAATGGAAGCGGCGAGTTGGTCGTCCAAGTGTGACTTGGAGGAGGTCATGTAAAGAGGAGATGAAAGCATGTGGGCAGACTTGGAGCCAGGTGAGAATTCTAGCAGAGAACCAAACGCAATGGAGACGGGTGGCTGAAGCCCTATGTTTCTCTAGGAATTAAAGGAAATAATAATAATGTCAAACATCATTGTTACTGTGCTGGTAAATCTGCTTTCTACCTTTTCTTGTTTAAATTGTGCTTATATTTTAGTGATGTATATATTTTTTCGTCAAAGATCATTGAACCACTAGGTTCGTGAAGAAATGTACATTGAAATTATAGTCCGAATTCTCACAGAAAACCAATCATCCAAATATCAACCTCCAGGTCATTGACGTCTGCTGGATATATATATATATATATATATATCGTGAATTAACTAGCGTTAAGGAGTCTTGACCAGTGACGTCCATCATGTCAAGGCTAGGTGAACTGAATGCTAGTCGAAGAAGGTATTGGTTAAGGCTAGCAGAGTATATCACAGGAATTGACAAAGTTAAAATCCATCAGTGTCGTAGACAAGTAATTGTTCTCTTACCCGACTTGATGAACCACCACGTTAGTTACAACTTCTCCCTAGATTTGATTGTTTAAAGGTTTGATCATGAATGTTGAGATCAGTTTGAGAACCATTAAAAGATTTGGGATTATTGAATATTTGTTCCGTCCTAATTCAGGACTCTTCAATGGTACTCACCTGCCCAGGTTTTCCAATGCTTGTATAACTGGCATTCAACTCGCGATCAAGCCTGTAACCAAGCATTAGGGGGAAAATAACCTTCCAGTGTTCTGTCCTGGTTTGCAATGATCTCTCTAACTTAAGTGTTGGTGTGTAGGGATGTGGCTGGTTGCAGGATTTCATCATGAGCTGACATTGGTTAGAGAACCATTGGAAAACCTGGGAGTACTGGACAGCTGTTTCGTCCTAGTTTGGGACTCTTCAGTAGTACGCACCCACCCCCAGGGTTCGAAATTAGGACCTTCTGGTTACAAGGAGAGCTAGATCGTAGACCATTAAGCCACTGGAATCCGATCCAATGTCCAGCCCATGAATTCTAACTTCTGCTAATTCACGACAGCGCAACCGCTAGCCAATGTCTTCGGCGAGTATTTGTCCTCGCATCCTACTGGTCACGACGTCTCACTAGAACCGCAGGTAACTACTTACCTGAATGGGGCAAGTACTTGCCGAAGACATTGGCTAGGGGTTGCGCTATGTCGTGAATTGGCAGCAGCTAGAATTCATGGGCCATTGGATCGGGTCCCAGTGGCTTAATGGTCTACGATCTAGCTCTCCTTGTAACCAGAAGGTCCTAATTTCGAACCCTGGAGGTGTGGGTGCGTACTACTGAAGATTCCCAAACTAGGACGAAACAGCTATCCAGTACTCCCAGGTTTTCCAATGGTTCTCTAACCGATAGACTGTTTCATGCCAAAATCTCTGACAGTTGAAATCAGTCCAAATCTCTACATTAACGTATAACCTATACATGTATGTATATAATTTATGCTGAATGACTGGAGTTTAGCTGCATTGTTAATTTTAATAGTAATAATAATTATTATTCGTTTGTTATCTTTAGTTATCCGCCAGCTTAAACAATATACAAACATCAGTGCATACAGCAGTGGCACAACAATATGAAACACGTGTATATTTAACACGATCATTTTCTTATGCCTTGGGGCTTAACGCTCGTGTATTATACTGGTCAATAGGTCTAGCTGTAGTTATTATTCTCTTCAGTATTGGACAAGTCTTTGTATTGCGATCATTCTTTTCATCACCATCACCGAAATCATATGTGAAGCCAGTTTCTATGCCAGGTGGCACCTTTCATACACCTGGTTTTTAATCTTTTTGCTGTGTTAGATGAGTATTGTTGTTGTTGTTGTTGAAATTCCATTGTACAACTCTCTGCTTCTTCCGCTTATATTGATCTCAGCAGTTTATGTGATCAGACAGTGTTTTTCTTTTATACGATATTTTACTATTCACTCTTAGATTCGTATGATTATAATATCTTTTTTTTTAATTCTGATAAACTTTGACCTTTTTTAATTGTCTATAAATCAGTATGTATTTGAATTTCCTTTTTCTCTCAAAGACGTGGAATATTACGCCATTTTTTAATCCTACAATAACTGACTAACTAACTGCGTTACACACTTTGCTGCTATTGTTTGTATTAGTTACTTTTCTTTGTGTTTATATATATATATATATATATATTGGCGGGATATTTTATATTTTTGAGTACCGGTCTTTTCCTTTTCTAGAAAAAAGAATCAGATTAGAGTATTCTATGTAACTTCTTTTTACATTTCAAACATTTTTACCAGGAAGAGTTTGGTAAATTATTATTACTATTGTGATTATGATTATTATTAATATTATTTGTGTTGGTTGAAAAGTCAATAATTGGCTATTATTTGTTTTTTGGTAGTCTTGTTGTGTTCCTGCTTGTTCTTGCTGAACTGTTCCATGTGGATGTGTGAGTTGTGACTGAACGCAACCATCATCATCATCAAGTGTGAAACTTGGCACAAAAGTGCAACAGTGTGTGTGTATTTTACGTAGCGTTACGTCCCGTACTCCTTTATGTCTGTGAGAGACATAGTTGTGTATAATCAGAAATGCTCACGTTCTATCTGATATGTTAATTGGTATAAGTGTGACGAGTGATAATGTGTGGTTAGAGGTGTAAAGTGCTAGGTGAAAAAGGTGCGTCAATTGCGATGAGATTATGAAGCTACACATTGATTGAGACGGTTAGGACACACGTGTCAAGCCCCGCTACCACCTGTCTGTCTGTCCGTTTTTGACATAGAACTTTGCACATATGTGCGGCAGTTCAAGTCGCCACACACCCTCCATGTAGCACACAAGGCAAGAGAAGTAAGTAGAAGAAATGCATATTGGAGACAGTAAACAGAGGTGTGAGACAAAGGAATAGTAATAACGAAGAACAAAACAGTTTCATTGGAAATCATAAGTCACAAGGAGTGGATGCAACAGCGCAATTGAGAAGGATTTTGAGCCATGCCACCAATTGTTTCCAGCCACCATTGGTTTTTGCCGTCCCGAGGACCCCAACCAGGAAGTCCAAATCTTCCTACGTGGCTGGCTTAAACTAACTGTTGTGGATTTCATTGACTGGTGCCACCATGTTTTGGTTTGACCGCCTGTAGCTCTTCTCCAGCCTGACCCTATATCAGCTAACATTGACCGTTGGTCGAGGAAGGCGATGACTAGGCATACGTAACCCTACCACCTCCGTCGACAAGCAGTGCCAGTCGACATAGGATGATTAGTTTGGAAAAGAGTTAGGGTTAATGGTGAAACTGAAACATGGTATATCAGTCTCTGAGGTCTTTCATCGTTGGTATTAGGGTAAGGCACGTAGGGAGAGGTGTCGACTGTCTGTCTGACTAGGGTCCTTGGGTTGTTAAGGTCTGATGGCTGAAAATTATAGCTGATGCATTCACTCTCTGTAATCCTTGACATATCCACTTAACCAGTGTGTTTTTCCATGTTATTATTCTTTGTGCACCTGCATATTTCTGATTTGAATCTCGTTTCTGCGCCTTCATGTGCTTGTATGGAGTGTGACAATTTAGACTGTTGCATCTCCCTACACAATCCTTTGTTGAAAATGATTCAATCAGCTTAAAACTCCCCATTGAGTCATATGAAAAAAGAGAAGATGTTCAGCGAAGAGACTCTTTTTGACGGCAAATTCATTCACATAGCTGTACAATCACACTTATATATAATTATTTTTTTTTTGTGTGTGTGTGTGTGTACATGAGGTCTGTCAAGTTTAGATAATTAATCAAGTAATACAAGAATGATCTAATATAGGAACAAGGTTTATCAGACAGCAACTAAGGTAATATTAAGTTAGTAAGTTGGATGACGTAATATAATTGACTAAAATGTTTCGACTTAGGTCAGGATAGCAACAGCGGTAATTACAGGTGGAGACTAAGTAGAGATGGGCTAGAGAATTATACCATTTAAATTAGATCTCATCAAGCTTAACTCTAATATACCTACATAACTTTACAAATAAAAATTCAAATAAAAAACAATCATGGTATTTTGTCTATAGGTTAACAAGATTGTGTATATAAATTGTGTAATGAGCTGTAATGATAATAATAATAATATTGATGGTTTTATCAATAATAAGGATGGAAAAGTGAGGCAATCTGTGATAACACGAATAATGAAAAACAGCATGATTAAACAAACAGATGTGTTCAGGTGGAAGTAGTCGATAAAGGCTAGTAAAAACAAATGAACCGATTAAGTAATGCTGGATTGTAAGGGAACGAAATGAGACACGTTTTTAATGAAGATGTGCTAAGATTAAGGGATGACAAGAAAGGGGTTGAAAATATGAACAAGGGGTGGTGAAGAAGTCATTAGTTAGTTATGTCTTAATAGGTCAACAAGGGAGGGATAATGACTGTACGGACTTTTTTGAATGCATAGTTTAGGTTTCATAGTCCGAATGCCTATCGCCTGTCTCAGCTGTGTGCGTACAGTAGACGAATACGAAGTCTATTAGAAAGATTCGGTGGGATACGATAAATTACTTTGAAAGCTTTCGTTTTCTCTACTACATGACCACTATCAATTAAATGTGACAAAATTGAGCTACGGATTGTTTTCGTCTGTCCCTTGCCAAACCACCACGATGGGAGATGTTCACTAACACACTGGTTGACTAAGCTGTCTAGTAGTATGCCCAACATAACTGTCACTGCATGTGCAGTTGAACTGATAAATGCACATCGATCTGGCAAAACTATCTAGCTTGTCCTTCGTTTGCGTCCCAATCATTCGTCGTCTAGAGAATGACAAACATATGTATGCTACGTAAAATGTTCTTCATATACTCCTGGATAGCCTCTGGAAAAGTATATAGTTCTCGCGTACTTAGCAAGACATCCAGAGAATGCATTTCATTCTCTTGCTTCTCTTCACAAGTAAAAGAAAGCGAAGGGTGGATGTTGTTGAATTTCAGCAGCAATTCGTCTATGTTAACATTCTCATCAGCTAAGATAAATGTATCATCGACATATCGGTAATACATATCAAACTCCTTGATGATGTCTTTCAATTTCACGTTTTCAGAGAAAGAAGTCAGCTAACATTGGGCCTAATGGTGAACCCATAGCTATTCCATCTACTTGTCGGTAGTAAGAATTATTGAAGACAAAGTGAACATTCATTGTGCATTTGAGAAGTAATTCTTTGAGGCTACATAAGGGGATTCCTAAGTCCAATTGTCTTCCGGTGATTTCTTGACAAATGTAATCTACTGTTTCCATAAGCGGTACATTAGTGAATAGTGATGATACATCAATGGATAACGTGCGTTTATACCTCACATTAGTTTTGGTTATTTTTGAAATAAAGTCAAATACATCACTAATTCTATGTTGCACAATTTCTCTGTGCAAACGACCCAGAATCTTCACCAACCACTCTACTGTTCCGTGAAATGGAGAGTTATACATATCTAAAACAGGGCGAAGAGGAAGACCCGATTTGTGCACTTTGGGTAGATCGTAAAGACGTGGACTATTGGTACCTGTTGGTTTCATGGACTCATAGGTGACTGATGATAATGCACTTATTTGGTTCAGCTTTTTGAGAGAGTTGTGCGTCGGTGCCATAGCGGTTGGGACGGTCGCCGACCATGCATATGGTCCGGGGTTCGATCCCCGGCCGACGCACTCCTTTACTTCACAAAGCCTGAAATAATGTTAGTAAAAAGGAAAGGTTGGGCATGAGGCTAGCAACCCCATCCTGTAAAATAAACACTGCTACAGAAACTCCAAGCCACTATCTTGAAGCCCTATGTTCTACTGGGAACGTGAAGGAAAAGCAATTTTGAGAGAGTCCGCTCTTACGTTGAGGTCTCTGCAAACACCAAGAGATTGGAGTTTAGTTTGATCACTCAAAATGCCTTCAATTTTCTCAACATAATCGCTTTTGTCCAGTAAAACTATACCATCACCTTTATCTGGCTTGCTAATAATTAAGCATTCGTTACTTCTAAGTTCGCTTAGCGCTTCTCAGTGTTGCTTCGATAACAGACTATTTATTGGATGTCTATTATTTTTGTATTGCTGGCAGCTGTCAACTAGCGTCGTCCTATAATGGAGTAAGGCGTGACGTTTGAGAATACAAATTTTCAAATTGTATATTGTTCCAGAGACTATCCAGGAGTATACGAAGAACATTTTACGTAGCATACCTATGTTTGTCATTCTCTAGACGACGAATGATTGGGACGCAAACGAAGGACAAGCTAGATAGTTTTGCCCGATCTATGTGCATTTATCAGTTCAACTGCACATGCAGTGACAGTTATGTTGGGCGTACTACTTACTAGACAGCTTAGCCAACCGACGTGTTAATGAACATCTCCCATCGTGGTGGTTTGGCAAGGGACAGACGAAAACAATCCGTAGCTCAATTTTGTCACATTTAATTGATAGTGGTCATGTAGTAGAGAAAACGAAAGCTTTCAAAGTAATTTATCGTATCCCACCGAATCTTTCTAATAGACTTCGTATTCGTCTACTGTACGCACACAGCTGAGACAGGCGATAGGCATTCGGACTATGAAACCTAAACTATGCATTCAAAAAAGTCCGTAGAGTCATTATCCCTCCCTTGTTGACCTATTAAGACATAACTAACTAATGACTTCTTCACCACCCCTTGTTTATATTTTCAACCCCTTTCTTATCATCCCTTAATCTTAGCACATCTTCATTAAGAATGTGTCTCATTTCCTTCCCTTACGATCTAACATTACTTGATCGGTTCATTTGTTTTTACTAGCCTTTATCGACTACTTCCACCTGAGCACACCTGTTTGTTTAATCATGCTGTTTTTTCATTATTCGTGTTATCACAGATTGCCTCACTTTTTCAACCTTATTATTGATAAAACCATTATTATTATTTGATATGTATCCACATGTGTGTTTTGTTTTGACAGTCTGTTATATTTTGCTATGTTTATATGGATCGATATTCCATTAGAACTGACAATATGCTTTTGTCTATCCACTAACTAAATAAACAATGTATGACCTTATTATCACATGGCATTACAACCAATCATGGTAAGACGTTATCTTATTGGTTCATGTGTATTAGCCATTTTCATATATACTCTTGCTTTATTATTATTGTTTAATGTTGTACACACACTTTTTCGTACACTCGTACCATTTCACTCACACTCTTGTGTGACATTTATTTTCCTTGTCTGGAAAATACAAGTACCATCGTAAACCTGGTGGTCTTCTGATTTCCCTCTTTCCGCGTCAGGACTATTAACTACTCGACGAGTACATAACATTATTACTATTATTATTATTATTATCATTACTACTA